CCCCCCGCCTCGGGGCCCTGGTCCCTCAGAACTGGACGGCCCCCATGCGCAGAGACTTCGTTCCCTCCCGCCTCACACCTTCAGTGGCTCACAGGCCTCTGGCTCAGTGAATGATAGTAACTCACACTTGTTGAGAACGGCCTGGTGTCGGTTATGATGCTGAGCGATTGCATGGGTAATCTCACTCCGCTATACCATTTCATACACACATCACTACCATTTGATATGTGGCGCCATGATATTATTTCCTACTGTGTAATTAAGGAAACTGAAGTTCAGAGAGGCTAAGTGACCCGTATGGCAGCTTGGAGGGAGAGTGCCCCCCAGGCCTCTCTGACTCGGCATCTCAGCATCTGCCCTGCTTGGCGCTTCAGGCATGTTAACGGACGTGTTGCAGCATCGAGATCCTGGGCGCAGCTGGCTGGTGGGTCCTGTGTGCTGCCGGCCCTTGGCGCTGTCCCTGGTGCATGGCTCCTTCCTGAGAGCAGGCGGTATGGAGCCATAGAAGTGTCTGGAGACTTGGTGAACACGAGGGCAGCCACGGCCTCAGGGAGGAAGCAGCCAGGTGTTTGAAGGGCAGCTGTGCAGGCGGCCTCTGAAGCTGTGGAAGGGTGCCGGGAACTCGTGACGGGAGCGGAGGGAGGCCCCTCTGGGGGGCTGTGCGCCTGCCCCAGGGACCCGGGGATTTTAGGGCAAGTGCTTTCTGACCACCTTTCTCTGCCTGAGCTCAGCGATGCAGCCTTCAGCGTTTCAGCGGTCACAGGAACCTTGGGTTGATCCCAGCAGAGAGGCAGGCCTGGGAGTGCAGGGAGACGGTTCTGCAGGCAGGAGAGGGTGGTGGTCGGGAACGGGGTCAGAGAGGTCTGGGCTGAACCTCACTTTGCAGTTCCGCCACCCCGCACAGGTCCTCTGCCCTCCCCGTGCCCTCGCTCCCAGGGTTCGCTCAGGGAAGGGGGGCTGGGGGAGGGCGGCCCTCCCGCGCACTTCCCCGTCCCTCCCCTTCAGGGTGGTGGTTTCTTTAACCTGCGCCCACGTACGAGAAGTTCTCTCCTTTTGCCGACACATTCAAGAAGCGCGTCAGCAAGAACACGTTCTTCGTGCTGGTTCGGGTGGTGGACGAGCTCTGGTGAGTCCTTCCGCCCCGGGGGTGGAGGGCGGAGGGGCCCAGCAGGCCGCGGGCATCTTGGGGTCCCCGCCGGGGTACAGGCTTCCCCGCAGAGATCTGGGCCTCCCGTCACATTTCGCCTGCATCTCCCGGGCTCTGTGCCCACAGAGCCCTGCCCAGGGCCCTGGACAGGGCTCACTCCTGCCTGCTTTAACACGACCCCTGGGGAGAATGGCTTGTCCCCTCAGACCCGCCCTGGCCCGGCCCAGCCCTGATTTCCTTGTGGGGGCCATCCCTCTGGCACGTGGCTTAGACCTTGGCTGCCCTCCTCATCTTTCCACGGTCCCCTGAGTGGCATTTGCCATTTCCAGTCATTTAACAAAGCACAAGGTCCCGTTCCTAGGTCTAGAGAGCCCTTGGTAAGGAAGCCACCCAGGCCCCGCCCTCAAGGTGTTTACCTTCTGCTGGGGGGTGGCCTTAGTGATTACGGGGTGGGGCTGTGAAACACTGCGTGTGGAGAATACTGTGCAGGGGCGTCCTAGGGCTGTCTGTGGAGCCCAGACCTCGTCGTGATTCATCACCCCTGTGCGATCAGGAGCTCTCCTGGGGCAGGATTTGTCTCCATAGCCCAGGCCGCAGCATGGTCCCTGGTGCTTATCCAGTGCCAGTGACCATTTGCTGAGAGAATGGCAGTTATTTGTTACCAAGGGGACCACTCCCGGCACTCTGTAGGATGCCGACAGCCACCCCAAGACCTTCTCTGGCTCTCTTCCCACGAGAGGTTTCCCAGCTCTGCTGGTGGGTGTCTCAGGTGTCTTGAGGGGGTTCTAGACCCCGTGGCAGCAGCCCTCTTCTTATGCTTGCATCCCTGCCCCTCCCCGCGTGGCCCTTGGCCCTTTAGCCTAGTGGAGTTGACGGAAGAGATCTTGAAGCTGCTGATGGAGCTGGTCTTTCGCCTGGTGTGCAACGGGGAGCTCAGTCTGGCCCGTGTGCTCCGGAAGAACATCCTGGACAAGGTGGACCAGAAGAAGCTGCTCAGGTGTGCCAACTCCGACCAGCCCCTGGCGGCCAGGGGCGTAGCAGCCAGGTGCGCCACCCGCCGTCCGTCCTGGGCTTCTCTGGGCCCTGCCTCTGGCGAGAGCTGTACCGGCAGCCATCTCTCCATTCCATTTCCTTCAGTGCCCCCCTCCCCGCCCCCGGCCTCACAACCTCACCTCCCGGTTCTGCCCGGGCCCTGCGACGAGGTGCCTCAGGGGCAGCCCAGGGGTTCCCCCGGGGCTGGGCCTCTTCTCCAGGGTTACGTTGTATGACTGATCACCGTTTTAGTAGGAAGTGGGGCAGCAGGGCGTGTAGGGGCTTACCAGGACTGGGGACAGGAATGCCT